ACCCTAGAAGTAAGGTTACGTCAAGATTATCACATTCCAAATGAAACAATGACTAATGCTAAATGTGAGATTGACACAAGTAATCTACCACCTAATACACAATTTGGTTTCCTTAAACCAGTTAAGAGACTGTATGACGATTATCAGATTGTAATACAAGAAACACTTATTGATTTACAAAAACCAATAGATGTCATTTTATACAATTCGTCAAAAGCTAATAAATACTTGTGTAAAAATCTCAAAATAGCCTTAATGTACCTAATATCATACCCTCAATACGGATGCGAAGAGAATTATATGATTGAAAGCGTAGATGATAATAAAAAACAGTTTCATATCCTTACTACTGATAATTACAAGAGACAAAAAATGTTTAGATTGCTTGAAAAGAATAGAGATCTTTTTGGAGAATCTGTATTACAATTAGGTAAAGCTGTTGATGTTGAACACGAAATTAAGCTAACAACTGAAGAACCAGTACGTCTACGCGCTTATAGAAATTCACCAAAAGAAAAAGAAATAATACGACAACAAGTAAAAGAAATGTTGGATGCAAATGTTATCGAGGAAAGTAAATCACCATATAGTTTTCCTGTAGTATTGGTTAAAAAGAAAAACGGGAAAATTAGATTTTGTGTCGACTACAGAAAACTAAATTCTATTACAATCAAAGATAGACATCCTTTACCATTGATTAACGACGCTCTCGCAGCTCTTGAAGGAAGTAAATACTTTACTGTTATGGACCTATTAAGTGGATATTGGAATATTCATGTAAAAGTATCAGATAGACCGAAGACAGCATTTATAACACCTGATGGCTTATATCAGTTTAAAGTGATGCCGTTTGGTCTTACCAATGCACCGGCGACATTTCAACGATATATGCAAAAAGTTTTAAGAAATGTATTGTATCAATTTGTCGTAGTATATTTGGATGACATAATAATATTCTCCAATACATTTGATGAACATCTACGACACGTGGAAAGCGTCTTGAAATTAATTAGAGAATATGATCTACGACTAGGCATTGAAAAATGTGAATTTCTTTGCAAAGAAGTAAAATATTTAGGACATATAGTTTCATCGGATGGAATAAAGCCAGATGAAGACAAAATAAAATCAGTTAAAGCATTCCCGATACCTAAGAAAGTTAGAGATGTACAAAGCTTTCTTGGACTAGCAAATTACTATAGAGTGTTTGTACAAGATTATGCTTTTGTAGCCGAACCATTAACAAACCTGTTGCGCAAAGATGTTAAATTTAATTGGGATATTAAATGTCAAAAAGCATTTGATGAACTTAAAAATAGATTAATTACTGCTCCAATACTAGCACAATATCAAGAAGGTGCCCCTATTGAAATATTCACTGATGCTTGTGGCTATGGCATGTCAGCAATACTAGGACAAATTCAAAATGGTAAACATGTCGTCATCAGTTACAACAGTAAAATGTTTAATAGTGCACAACTAAACTATGGTATCACAGAAAAAGAATGTTTAGCTATAGTATGGGCTGTTGAAAGGTATCGACATTACATATATGGCGAACATTTTGTGGTATATAGTGACCATAATCCACTACAATATATTAGAAATTTGAAAAACCCAAACAGAAGATTAATGCATTGGAGAACAATACTCGAAGAATATGACTTTGAAGTAAAATATAAGAAAGGAAAATTACATAACAATGCTGACGCATTATCAAGATATCCATACGAGGAACCAGACGATTGGGAACCAGTAATACCAGTACTAATAAATCCTACAATAAACATAATAGAGAAACAAGATAGTGATAAATGGTGTAAAGAATTAAAAGAGAAAATAAAAAATAATCAACAAAGTAAAAGCTTAAGCAAATTCATTATTGAAAATGAAATTCTATATAGGATAAGTTATGATGATAATAGAAATAGGAGGCTACAGTTATGCCTTCCTAAAGAATTAAGACGACAAATCCTACAAGATTTACATGACAATGAGTTGTCCGGAGCTCACTTAGGATTTGAAAAAACATATGGAAAAATCAAAGAGAGATTTTTCTGGCCTCACTGTGAAAAGTCAATCAGAAAATACGTAAACAACTGCGAGTCATGTCAGTTGAATAAAGTCGACAATAAACTGGAGAAAGGAATGCTGCAGCCTATCGATGCCAATGAACCATTTGAAATTGTCGGAGTAGACATACTTGGGCCTCTCTCTCCGACGTCAAAAGGCAGTAAATACATTATAATAATGATTGACTTATTTACAAAATGGATGGAGACAAAGGCAGTGAGGAATGTACAAGCCATTACTATAGCGAAATGGTTTGTTGATGAAGTTCTGGCAAGACACGGCGCCATTAAAAAAGTGTTAACAGATAATGCCAGATACTTTATATCAGACTTTATGGAAGAAGTCTTTAAGTTGACAGCCTCCAAACATGTGAAAACCACACCATATAGTCCACAATCGAATGGAACTGCAGAAAAAGCATGCGGGACTGTAGCTATGATGCTTAAAAATTATGTTCAAGATAATGTTACCAATTGGGACCAGTACTTACCCAAAGTAACATTCTCGTATAACGTTAGTAATCATAAAGCTACCAAAGTTTCTCCTTTTTCCTTACTATATGGAAGAGAACCAAAAGTACCAATTGACATATCTTATGATCTACCGCGTGACTTTGCATTTGGTACTAATTATTTAAAATATATGGAGGAGACAAGAAGATTGGTTCAAATGAGAATTATAGAGGCTCATAATGATGGTAAATTCCGTTATGATGCTAAACATCGCGATGTAGTATTTGAGGAGGGTGACTTGGTGTCACTACATATTCCTCACAGAGAGATTGGTCTTAGTACAAAATTATTAAGCCAATATATTGGCCCTTATAAGATAATTACGCGGCACAGTCCACTTGTATACACTGTTCAAAGTGTACATAATCCAAGGAAAAAGTTTAAGAAAGTACATATAAGACGATTAAGAAAATGGAACAATGAAATAATTCCTGAATTGGACAGTATTGATGAAGTAGATAGTAACAATGCTAAACATATTACTACACTAAATGACAATGAAAATCAACTGGACGATGAAATTGATAACACGGAACAACAAACAAAGCACAATAATGATCAGAAAACGGACAACGATTAAAATTTATTATAATGCATTATTGGTATTTTATAGATTTAAGTTTACATAATGCATGCATTTTTTAAGGTGAAGGGATTTTATAGTAATATTTTATAAATAGAAAATTTGTAAACTAATGTGTACATGAGTTATTAGTGTTACACATCTGAGGACAGATGAAGACTTGAAGGGGCGGAAATGCAATAGTGGGTCAAATCAGCAAAATATTTAACTATTAAATAAGTTTTGTTTTTATTTAAATAATTAAAAAACATAATTATTACATAAGCTAAATTATTGAAAACTTTCCCTATAATAAACAAATGCTTATATACACTAATATTTCTACATTAAATAATTTTATATTGAAGTCAAGGATAACATACATAATTAAAATATATTGTAAGGGTATATTATTTGTTTTACTCCGAAAAAGTATTTCAAAAATTATTCTTATTTTTATTTGTTAAAAATTTATAACAGCACTAAAATGTTATACAGAAAACCTAAAGGTAAACACCTTGTTTTTAAGGAAATTTTATTCAATATTTTAGTGTTAAAATAATGCACTAAAATGTTATAGAAAAAATTAAATAGTAAACTCCCAGTTTTAATAGTGATTAAAACCTGACTCAATGTGACACACTTTTTATGAACGTACACTTTAGTATAAATAGAGGTGTCTCTCAAACACCAAAATCAGTTCTCCACTTGGAGTCATACTACGTGTATTGCTTTAGAGTGAATTAATAAAAGTATTTGCATATTACTTTGTGTGTGTTTACTTTCTCGACGCGGACCAATCGTTGGACATCTTAAGGGACGCCTTCAGAATACATCCATAACCACGCGGACGTTAAACAACTATTACGTAAGTAAATATTTTTATTATGAGAACTCCGGCACCGTACCGTATACGGGGGCATCTCACACCCGAACTCTTATTGGAACCTACGGGTGAACCTACGGGTGAACCTACGGGTGAACCTACGGGTGAACCTACGGGTGAACCTACGGGTGAACCTACGGGTGAACCTACGGGTGAACCTACGGGTGTACCTACGGGTGAACCTACGGGTGAACCTACGGGTGAACCTACGGGTGAACCTACGGGTGAACCTACGGGTGAACCTACGGGTGAACCTACGGGTGAACCTACAGGTGAACCTACGGGTGAACCTACGGGTGAACCTACAGGTGAACCTACAGGTGAACCTACGGGTGAACCTACGAGAGTACCTGCAGGTGAACCTACGAGAGTACCTACAGGTGAACCTACGAGAGTACCTACAGGTGAACCTACGAGAGTACCTACAGGTGAACCTACGAGAGTACCTACAGGTGAACCTACGAGAGTACCTACAGGTGAACCTACGAGAGTACCTACAGGTGAACCTACGAGAGTACCTACAGGTGAACCTACGAGAGTACCTACAGGTGAACCTACGAGAGTACCTACAGGTGAACCTACGAGAGTACCTACAGGTGAACCTACGAGAGTACCTACAGGTGAACCTACGAGAGTACCTACAGGTGAACCTACGAGAGTACCTACAGATGAACCTACGAGAGAACCTAAACTAACGACATGACAGAGACACTGAGGTATGCAATATTTTAGGATAACATACCTATAAGATAACCTACCTATATTGTAATCTGATTATAAGGAACCTACTCATATAGTAAACTATCTATAATGTAACCTGCTTATATGGTAACCTATCTATAAGGTAATCTAACTGCACGGTAACCTATCTATAGTTGTCTGCCGATATGGTAGTCCATCTATAAGATAACCTACCTGTATGTTTACCTACCTATAAGATAACCTACCTATACGGCAACCTACATATATGATAACCTACTTATGGGTTAACTCCTATAAAGCAACCTACGTATATGGTAATCCATCTATAAGGTATCCTATCCTGAAGGTAATTGCATACCCGATGACATGTCCGTTGTCAACTACAAACATGAACACGGTTACTCCCGTATAGTAGGAGTTACCCGACTATGTCGGGGAACAAGGGGATCCGCTCGCCCCTTAAGCCACACACCACGAAACCGACCGGGTTGAGAGCCCAACCGTAAGGGCCGGTGGTATATTACCGAGTGTTTTGGTTTACATAAGTTAGTTTAGCTTAGTCCTAAATGTCAGTAATACCCCACTTCCCCTACAATATAAAATTTTTATGTTTAGTTATATAATCTATTTATTTTTGTATAAATAAACTTAAATTTCAAATGATTATTGATTAATTAATTAATATTTTTGTCAAATAGCAATATATATATATAATATAATATAGTATATCATTGTTTACATAAAATAATAAATAATAGAAAATAATATATAATTTATATATATATGTAGTTTTATTTAAGTTTATATTTATATATTACTTTTTTAATGTTGAATGAATATTTTTTTTATAAAACTATAATAATCAAATTATTTTTTTTAAAATGTTTTTTTAAACTTTTTTTTAAAAAACTAATTATTTATTTAATATATTTTTTTAATAAATAATTTTATTTCTTACATAAATTTGTTGGTAATAAATCAGTATAATTTAATTTAAACTATTAATAGATATAATATATATATATAATTTAGTATTTATTTTAATCAAATTTATTTATTTTTTTAAATTTTAATTTGTTGGAGTTATTGTTTTTAAATAATTAATTTAGATTATTTATAGCGACTACATAAATAAAATAATCTTATGAAAATTTTATGTATTTAAATACTTATAAAAAAAACTAAAAATATTATACATTTACTAAAATTAGTAAAAAAAATTTAAAATAAATATCAGTTTTCACTCATTATATATATATATACAGTATATTAATTATATACAGTATATAATTATAAAGTAATATGAAATTTTATATTTAATTTTATTAATTATTAAAAAATAAATAAATATTTATAATTGAAATATTTGTTTTTTTTCGATACACGTGTGCATATAAATATAGAAAATTATAATTTTATTATTATTATTATTATTATTATTTTAACATTATTTGCTTAAATGATAACTTAATCTGTCGATACATTAAAATCTTAATATAATTTATTTATAATTATTAGTTAATAAAAATCTATAGTAATAAATCTATTAATAATTTATATATTATAATTTATACATAAATTTATTGAATTATATAAATAATAATATACACGTGTCGTTGATTATCGATAGATAATTTATAATGCTAATTTATGTATATATATATATTATATTTATATAATACATAACAAATATTGGGGGAAAAAATAATTTTTAACATTTGAAATTTAATATTTTTTTTTAAATTTTCAACTAGCGTTGCCAAAGTCAAGTTTTATTTTTTCAAAAAATAATTGTTTAAAAAATAAAATAAAACTAACGATCCAATAGTATACAAAAAAATATTAATCTTATTTTTTTAGAAAAAAATGATTTAATAATTAAAAAATAATAAAAAAATTAAAGTTTTACTACTAATATTATTAACATTTAAAATTGTCAAATCAATCGTCATGGAAATAAATCAGTAATTATATATATATATATTTATTTAAATTTTAAATATTGTATAAAAATAATTTTATTTTTAAAACATATTTACAATAATTTACATTAAATATCACAGTTTGTCAAAATCAAGATTTAAATTTTCATCAATTAATTTGTTAATTTTTTTTTGAAATTATTAAATACGTTATGATATGGTTTTATACTTTTGATATTATAATAATTTTTTTTATAAAAAAAACAAATATTAATTTTATAATATAATTTAATAATATCGGAAAAACTAATTCTTTAATTAATTTCAGTTAAAAAAAATTTAATCTTTAAAAAAATAATAATATGATTATTATTTAAAAATCTTATTAGATTTATATTATTTTTAATCTAATCTAATATAATATATATTTAAAAATATAATTTTTATATTAAATTTATGGAAAATATACTTAAAAAAAGATAATCAAATTTGTATGTAATAAATAAATGTTATTATTTATATATAAGTTATATTATTAGATTATATTACTATAAGATTATAATATATAATTAGATAAAAATTTATTAATTTTTTTTTGTTTAATTTATTTAATTTAATTTAAATTTATACTTACTTTAGACTGATATTATAACAAATATTAAAAAATAATATATATATATATATATATATATATATATATATATAATGTATATATACATTAGTACATTAATATTATGTTGATTGATAATATCAAATATCTTTAAATACTAATTAGTAGCTAAAAATAAAATTTTTATATATATTTAAATCCAATTAAACTATAACAACAACAACAAAAAATGTTTATTTTTTATGTTTAGTACAATACAATACAAAATTTATTATTTTTAGTTTTAGTATAATATTAGGTATAATTTATAATTATAGTATTATTATTATTATTATAGTTTATGGCAATTAATTTTCTATACTCTTAACACACTAATAGTTACCAACAACAAAAAAAAATTAAATATAATTAATTAAGTTTTATATATATATTGTATTTTTTTATTCAAGTAATACAATATTAATTAATTGCCTTTTTTTAAAAAAAAAAAATTGTCAATTAATTTCAATATGTGTTAGAGAGATGGGCAAATACAGTAGAAAGTTTCTAATAAATTTCTGTGAGTTAAAATTTCTAGAAAATATCAATTTATCATGAATAAATTTCTATAGAAATTTAACTGTACTATTAGACTATAGGATCCCCATATATTTAAAGCTATTGTAATAATAGACTACAATATATTAATTAGACATATTGAATATTATACTAAATAGTAGACTACTAAATAAAGGATACCTATATATATATATATATATATATATATAAAATAATTATAATTATTTAATAATAATTAATTTTGTAAAATTTTCAACTCGATCATTTTATTATATACAGTATATATATATATATATATATCATAGTTTAATATAATTAAATTAATTAACTATTTACTTTAACTATAACTAATAATTAAAATACTATTAATAATTTTTAATTTTTTTTTTAGAAACTTTCTAGAAATTTTTCTATTATTTTTATAAATTTCTCTCTCTCTTTTTTGTGCCAACACTAGTATGTGTATGTTATTAGTGTATGATATATATATATGTGGTTTAGTGGTTTAATACATAACCATTAAGTAATGTATTTTAACATTTCTATTATTTTTATTTATATATAATGTTAATCTTATATTTTATATATATATATATAATTATTGGGAATATTTTATATTTATTAAAAAAAAATCTACAAATATTTTAACGTTAGACTAAATATACAGTAAATAAGTATTAATTGATATTGAAAATCTAAAAATACTAGTTACTATGTATTTTATATAGAGATTATACTGTATATATATGATTTATGTACTATATTTTTTGATAATATTCAAGTTAGCGTTTAATAACATATTAATTTTATTATTATCTAGTTCAATTATTAATTAACAAAAAAATTAAATAATAAAACTATTTGAAAATTAACCTAATTTTTTTTTAATTTAGTTTATTTATTTTTCATTGAAATAATTAACAATAAAATCAAGTAAATAAATAAATAAATATCTAATTAGTTTATATTATTTATTCAAATTTTTTTTTATGAATTATTACTAATATTATATATAATTATGTTTATTATATTCTATGACCTATTGATATATATTCAACAACAAAATAAAATAATTTAAATAATTATTGAATTTTAGCTAGTTTATTTTTATTTATTTATTTATTTATTTTTGCGCATCTAGGACAATAGTGTATCTAATTAAATGCTAATTATATGATATATTGTTTGTTGAGATTTATATATTATATTTTTAGTTTAATTTTTTTTTAATTTTTATATAAATAAAAAAATATTTATGCATGCTTCAACAAAATTAATTGTACAAAAAAAATATATTTATTTATTTTTTTACCTAATACATTTAGTTTTCAAAATAAAAAAATTTTTCAATAAATAAAATTTCTATAGAAATTTCTATAGAAATTTTATTTATTTGATTTTTAATGAGTAAATTTCTATAGACTTTTATTTACATTAATTATTATATGAGATTATTATTATTATTTTTTTTGAAAAAATTATTATATAATTATAGTAATTATTAAAAATTTGTAAAAATATTTTTTAGATTTAAATGTTATTATTAGTGAATTATTATTATTATAACTTTGAATGTTAATTAAAATAATAATAATAATAATATTTATAGTTATAATAGAAATTGTTTCAATTCATTGATAACAAAATAAAAAACACTAATTAATATATTTATAGAAAATTTATTTCTCAGAAATTTTCCACAAAATTTTCGACTATTTTTTAGAAATTTCTGAATTTTTTATTTAAGTTTTTTTTAGTTTTTTTAAAACTCTAGTTATATTAGACTATATTATATGTTATTCAATATAAAACATTTGTTGAGCGCATAAAATTGATTTTATTTTATTTATTTTTTTAGAAATTTTATTTGTTGTAAATAATTTGCAAATAATTTAATACCATTTAACAACTAATATTTGACAATTGATCTATAGATTCATACATACAATATAAGTGTAACAAAAAATAAATAAATTTAAATCATTATAATGTTCACAAAATAATTTTTTCACAAAAAAAAATTATAGTCTATTAATACCTAATAAAATACATTATATTATTATACTAACCTTGAATATAATATATCGATAATAATCTGAATAAAGGTATCAAAACAATTTATTTTTTGAAAAAAATTTAGATTTTAATTATTATTACAATTTTTTAATTAAAAAAAAGCCACAAAAATTATTTGACTTTTTTTGCGATCAATTAATTAAATACTTAAAATTAAGTTTTTTTTAATTAAATTTAAAATATTCATATATTTAATTATCTATTCTTAATTATATAATATTATATCATATATATTATATATATATATATATATATATATATATGATTAATATTTTGTATGAATTATGAGTTTATGAATATAATAATAATTATTTTTTTAAAAAAATTTTAACATTTTTTTATAATAATAATAGTTAACATATTTGACATATTTGTCGCGCAATTTTTTAATACAATATACTATATATTTGCTATGTATTTGTAGCGTACAGTACTTTATATAYATATATATTGTATTGTAGGATATATATAATATATATATATATATATATATATATTATTTAAAGCGCGCAGGCTTAACATAAATATATACAATACTAAAAATAAATTATATATCTATATATACTGTAATATACCTGTATATACTGCATATAATATATATACTAAAATATATTTAGTATGTGTTTGTGTTGAAAAACATAAATATATTGAGAAAAATAAATCCTATAATCTATATAATACTAGTTTATTATAAAAGAATATTCTGTGTTATATATATATATATATATATATATAATTTTTTTACATATATATAAATATAGTTTATAACTACTAAACAACAGGGTGATTTTGACTTTTGAATATTGTAAATGAAAAACACTGTATATATATATATATATATATATATATATATATATATATATATTGATTTGAATTTTTAAAAATTGTTTTGTTTGTTGTTGTCATAGTCGAGTGTAAATTGTAAAAAAATGTATAAAATTTAGATATTTTTTATAAATAAAAAAAACCAATTTTAGTTGTGTTTTTTTATACTAGTGTTTTTCTATATATATATATATATATATATTAAAAATTATAACATCAAAAAAATAATCATCTAGTAACTTTTGTTTGTTTTTTTGGTTTTAAAAATTTGAATTGAAAATAAAATAATTTTTTTTAAGAAAAAATAAAATAAATGTTTGCTTTTTTTGTATTTAAATTGCTTATTAAAGTCTATAAATAACTAAAATCTACTGTTTATTGTATTATTATTATTATATACCAGTATATCAACAAGTTTTCAACTGTTTTATATATATATATATATATAAATTAATAAATAATTTATATATTTTTAATGTAATGTTAATTTATATATAATAATAAAGTTATAATAATAATAATAATAATAATAGTGTCAATATGTAATTAATATGAGTATTCAATATAAATAATACTATTATTTACTTATTAATCCATATATATATAATAATAATTAAATAAAAATATTTATTTAATAAATATACATATATTGTATTTACATACATAAATATATATATATATATATATTTAAAAAAATTATTACAATAAAACATGTATAATAATAATTACAGTAATAATTATCATGATTTTAATCATAATATTTATTATAACAATAATACTTTTACTAGTATTAATAAAATTAATAATAATTACATAAATAATAATAATAATTTTAATAATACATTAACAATTGCCCAATTATTGATGGATTTTTTAAAAAAAAAAAATTAATTTATATAATTCAAATAATAACAATAATTATTATAAATTAAATAACAATAACGATAATAATAATAATTTACTAATTAATATAATAAATAATATTTCTATAATTACTAATATAAGTGATATTAATAATAATAATAATAATGATTATTATATTAATAATAATAATAATAACTATAATAATAATAATAATCAAACAATGATTTTCCCAGAAATATCTATTGACATAACAATTATTATACGTATAATTTGTTATATAATTATATTTATGATTTGCATTGTCGGCAACTGTGCCGCCCTATTGACACTATTATTAAATAATAGATTGAAATCAAATGTTACAAATTGTTTTCTAACAAATCTAGCTATTAGTGATATATTTTTAGGTAAGTGTTATAGATTTATATATATATATATATATATACTTATATATTAGTATTATTTTTTTAAATAATAATAAAATTATAATGAAAAAAATATATAAAAAATATTGTTATTGAAAATTCTAAAATATATAATTATTTACGATTTTGAAAACAATAATTATTTTCTATAAATTTATATACAATTTATTATTATTATTATAATTATTGTTTGTTTGTTTGTTTTAATTAGTAATTAATTTTGTTTTTTAAATTTAATTAAATTTTTTTTAATACTTGATTAAACAAAAAATTTATATTGTATTTTTTTAGTTTAATTAAACGATATTTTATTATAGATTTAATTATTTTTTTTGTCTAGACAATTTTTATTTAAAAAAAACTAATTATTATTTAACTAGTATAAGTAAACAATTATTTATTTATTAAAATAAAACTTTATTATTAAGCTAATTGTTATAATTTTTTTTTAATAATGTTATACAATATATATAAATATGTTTATTATATGCAGAAAATAATTACATTTTATTTTTAAATACTATTATGAATTAATTAAATATATTTTTTTAAGTATTAAATTATATATATATATAAAATAATTGTAATTCAAGATAGTGTAACATAATATTAATTCATAATATATATTATTAAAAATAAGTTTAGTTTATTTTTTAAAAAACATAAAATTAATAAAATAATAAAATCTGCAAAATTGAGATTTATTTTTTCAAAAAAATAAAATAATTATTTAGTTTAACAAAACATTTTACTATTTTTTTTATATAACAATACAAAATAATATTTCAAAAAAAACATTATTAAAATGTAATTTACATTATGATTATTAAAGTTATTATAAAATATTAACCATTTTTTTTGTTGCTAAATTAATCAAGTGTTAAATATATTTTATTTTTTGTTGAATAAAAAATTTCAATTATAATATACTACTGTATAATATATGTATAATTAATTATACTACCAAATATATATATATAATTGACATATTGACTATAAAATTAAATAGCTATTAATCATCATCATTATCAATTTGTTTTTAATTATATATATATAGATTCATTAACATACATGTAATTATAAAATATTATTACATGTATAGTATTAATTAGTTTTTAATATATTGAATATATATATATATTATATACACAGATATATCACAGATTTATTATAAAAAATTATTATTATTATTATTATTATATATATAAGAAAATTAAATTTAAAATTAAATTATTTAATAATAATAATATAGTATTAGATTAACAATTATTACTATATATATACAATTATTATGATATATATATATATATCTATATAAATATTTACTAATATAAAAGCATATTTTTTTAACTCTAAAAAATTATAAAATAACATTTATTACTACTGCTAATTAGTTTATTATTATTATTATTATCGTATTGTTAACATTAGTATTACTTAGTAGTATAACAGTATTATTATTATTATTATTATCAGTATTAATAAATTAAATTTTGAAAAATAACATATATATATATTTTTATTTTATTTTTAATTATATCATCTAGGTGTATTTTGTATGCCATTTACGTTAATCGGATCAATACTTAAGGAGTTTATATTTGGTGGTCTATTGTGCAAAATAATACCGTATATTCAAGGTATAGTATAATACAATATATTAAATATATAAAATAATTGTAATATTATTATTATTATTATTAGTGTATTTAAGATTATTATAATTAATATTTTTCTTTAAAAAAAAAATATTAGTTTTTATACATAATAATAATAATAAGTTTAAAATATATATACAGTTTAAGCTACTTATTTATGTATTTGACATTTTATTGTTAAATATTTATTATAATTTTTTTGTTGAAATAATATATTTTTTCATATTTTTTTGTTATCTTAAATTTTATTTAATATTTTTTCAAAAAAAAAAACATAAGTATTAATTATTTACAGTATTATTATTTTGTTTTACTAATGTATTATTATTATGCATAAAATTCAAATTTAATTAATTTTTTATTTAAGTGCATTGTGTATAACAATATTTATTTATTAGTTTTAAAAAAAATAATTTATTATTATTATTATTATTATTTTTAGATTTTAGGAAAAATTTGCTAAAAAATTATAATATGTGACGGAAAATATAAATAATTTTATTTACAAGTTTAAAATAAAAAATATTTTTTTAAAATTAATAAATAATAATAAAAAATAATAAATAAGTAGATATTTTCTGAATCTATAATATAATATCTAATTTTTATTTGATTCAATATTATATATATATATAGATTAATATAATGATATTATTTTATTATTAATATATTGAATTTTTATTGTTATTTATTTCGACTTAGAAGTATTAATATAAAAATAAAATTCAATAAATTTATTTATTTTGTTTAAAAAAAAATAATAAAATCTGAATACAGAAAAATATTTAGTTGTCTTATTTTATTATTAGTATTATTGTCACAAAAAAATATATTCACAAATAAATAAAATAGTTTATATAGAAATATTTTCAATAATAAAATAGTATTAAATCATATATATATATATCAATATATCTATATATATATATCAATATATCTATATATATATATATATATAATATAACAAAATTTGATACATTATTTACTTTACATATTTTATAATGTGATATAAATTTTATATAAATATATCATATCTACCGGTATATATATATATATATTTATATATACAGTATATTATAAAAGTTTAAAATAATATTTTTATTTAGCTGTTTAAGTGTACTTAAAGCGTGTCATGTATTGATATAATACTTTTATTATTATTTACAAAAAATAAATAAATAAATTGAAATATTTTTGAATATATATATTTGTTTATTATATTCAACATTTCCATCATATAAAATCAATATATAATATATTTTTTTCATTTATATATATTTATATATAAATAAAATATAATTTTTTATTTATATAAATTAATAATCACTAATATTTATGTTAATATATATATTTAGATATATAATAAAAATATAATATAATAATAATAAAACAAACTAAATAATTAATTCAATTAATTTGCAAATATATATATATAGCCATATCGGTTGGTGTGTCCGCCTGGACACTGGTATCCATATCGTTGGAAAGGTATTTTGCAATCTGCCGGCCCCTGGAGTCCAGACAATGGCAAACCCTATCCCATTCCTATCGTGTAATTACCGGCATTTGGTTAACTAATATCATAATAATGTTACCGATCTGTATATTCAGTCAACTATTGCCAACTAATCAAACAGGTATTCAAACAAAAAGTTTAATTTTTTTTATAATTTATTTATAAAAAAAAAATTTTATTAATAGGAAAGTACAAGTGCCGGGAACAATGGCCATCGGATACAATGGAGGAAATGTTTAATATATTATTGGTAACTGTGCTACTGGTAATACCCGGCCTGGTTATCATAACTGCCTATACAATGGTCAGCCGTGAATTGCACGGTATTAGCATATTTAGACCGGATATTAATGATAATGCTATTGATGTCGATGACGATGATGATGACAATGATGATAATGCTAGATATTGTAATAATAATAATAATAATGGCAGTGGTAGTAGTGGTAGTAGTAATAATAATACTAATACTACTACTAATAATTTATTAATGGTTGAACATAAGCACCGGGCTATAAAACAGCAGCAACTAACCCGGGTATTTAATTGTATTACTAGTAGTAGTAATACTAATAATAATAATACCGGTGCTAATGGTTGTAGCACTAGTGGTAGTAGTAGTAGTCAACCTGTTAGCTATAATTGTAAAACTGGTTTTATTAACGGTATATTAAATGATAAAAATAATTTAATTGAAAAACAACAACATATGGACAGTGATCTGATTGATAGTAATACTACTAGTAGTACTACTACTGGTACTACCGGTGCTGTTGGCAATCGTATGCTATTAGTTGATACCGATTCCCGTAACAATGTTATACGTGTTAACAAATTGAAATTGGGGTAAGTTAGATAATTTATTTTATATCTATATATATATTATTTTTTTGATAATTAAATCTATACTATAGATATTATATATATTATATATATATATACCTATATATTACTAAAATATATTATTATATTTATGGATAATAATAATATCATAATAATATTAAAAATAATTTACTTTATAATGTAAACAATAATATATTTATTTTTAAAAAATATTTATTTATTTATTTAAGCTGTTATTATAAGTTTGTTTATTTGTTTAATACCATTATACTGTAAATAAAAAATTGATAACTACTTTAATAATAAATAAAAAAAAATAATTTAATAGTAATTATAAATATATTAAACAAATAATATTATTAATTAATTTCAAGTTTTCAAATAAATCAAGTTGTTTTGTGAGTTCGATTCCCAATAATGTTTAACTATATATTTTTTTCTAATATATAGTTACAATAATAAGCTTAAAATATTAGTTTAAAATTTTTGTCAAGTTTAAATCTATTAGATTATTTTAAAAAATAGATATCTATATATTTATCATATATATATTATAAGATATTATTATTATTATTATAAGATTATAAAAATATAACATGCTCAAATTTGCTAAAATATTTATTATTAAGTGTAAATCATATATATATATATATATATATATATAACAGTATAAATAATATGTAATATAATATCAATATAAGTTGTTTTATATATATATGGATTAAATATATAAATATATATTTTGAAAAAAAAATATATATATTTTTTGTATTATTATTTTTTTTCTCCGATATTATAGTTTATTAGCAAAATAAAAATAAATAAATAAATATCAAACTAGAGTATAATCAATAATATATATATTTATTATATTATTATTAATATATTTGTAACTATATCTACTATAACTACAGTATAGATTAATGTAATTAATTAGTAAATTAAATTTAGTTGATAAAAAAATTGTTAATTTTATTTTCCAAGGGATATAACAAACGTATTGTTAATTTATTTTTTGTATTGAAATATTTTTAGACGATTATATACTGTATTTTAAAAATTTACTGATTATATACTGTATTTACTGTATGTATAATATATGTTACCTAAAACAAACCCCATTATGTTTGAGCAAAAAATAAAATAAATAACAATAAATATTAATACAATAAATAATACAATCGTTATCTAGGATATAAATTTATATAAATATATTATATAAGTAATAATAATAATACTATTAATACTAAAAATTAATATAAAATAATAAAAAAAAATAATTCAAATTTTATGTAAGCATAAAATTTTATTTTTATATATATTATTTTTAAAATATTTATATATATATATATACATATAAATTATTTATCATTAGTTTTAAGTGATATTTATTTAGTTATTATTATTATTATTATAAAAAAAAATTATTATATCCTAAAAGTTATATAAATAATTTAAAATAAATATTATTTTTTAAAATACAAATTTAATGGGAATATTAAATATATATATATATAATTTTACTTTTTTATATTTATTGTAATATTTGCTTTACAACAAAAAAAACTCAAATAATAATGTCAAGTAATATAATTTTTTTTATTTGTTTTTAGTTTAGATAAATTAAATTTTTTTAATAACAAAATTATTTTATTTTATTGCAAAATAATAATACATTTTTATTAAATATTTATTTTTTATAATGAAAATAGATATATATAGTTTTTTTTAAAAAAATGTTAATAGTTAGCATTATATAAAAAATTAAAATATTTTTATATGTTAATAATTATAAATTATTTTACAATGTATACTACTATACTAATAATTAAAAAAAATTGATCAGCTTATAATTTAAAATTAATAAATAATAATTATTTTTAGATTATAAATACAATAACAAAATATTTTATAAGTTTATAAGTTATTACTTATTAATAAATTAATATTTTTTAGATCTATATTACATGGAATTAAATGTTTAATAAAATTTTTATTTATTATTTTTATAATTATAATCTACTAATAAGTAATTTTATTTTAATAATAATTAGTTTTAAAAAATAGAGATTAATTTATAACTTATTAGTTATTTAAATTTTTTTTTATTTTTTTATGTTTTCGTAATATTATTATAAAATATTTATTATTAATAAATTTTTAGTATTTTTTTTTAATTTTATTTGAATAAATAAATATTTTATAATTGTAAAAAAAATAATATACTAATGTAAATTCATACATTAAATTTTGCACTTAAAAATTAAAATTAAATTATAAAATAAATATCTATGTATTAGTTTTGAAAGTTAATTTATTTGCAAATTTTCTACAATAATTTATATATATATATTTTATTTATTTATTTTTTATATAAATATATATATATATATTTAATTTCAAATTTTATTTGTTGTTATATTAAAACTATTTTTAATTACAAAACTTATTTTCTGACTAATTTTTGTGACAAACTTTTTAAAACAAATAAAAATCAAAATAAAAATCTATAATTTGTTTTATGCTAATGAAAATGTTATATAAAATTTTTATATACAATGTGTTTAATGGGATTTAATATATGATTTTATTGTGAATATCTTAGCATTTTTTATCATTAATTTAATTTTATAATTTAAAATTATAGTTTAGATTTAATATCAAAATTTTTTTAAATAATAATAATAAAATTATTATCAATTAATTATGTTTATGAATAATTTTTTTTTTTAAATTATATCAAAATAATTTTTATTTTTTCATAAATTTATACTATAATACTGTATATTATTAAAAAATATATATATATATTATATATACTGTATATTTTAATTACAGTATATTTAAATTAGTCTATTATTATTAGTATTAATTATTAATTAAACCAACAACAAAATATAATCTAAATTTATAAATAAAATTATTTTTTTGAGGTTTTTAAATAAAATTAATAATAATTATATTACAGTATATATATATATATATATATATATATATATATATATATATATGTAATAAATTTGTTTTTTATTTCTTATTCTATATTAGTTATCTATATATTATTTATAATATATAATAATAATTATTATTATATAAATATTACTAAAAAAAATGTTAATATATATATATATATATATATATATATATATATATATATATATATATATATATATATATATATATATATATATATATATATATATATATATATATATGTATATAAAAAGTATATATTATAAACATATTATATTACATTATAAATAGATTATAAGGGTATCTATAAATCTGTATTTAAATTACAATATAAACAATATATATATATATATTTTTATGCAATATATATATATATGTTTACGTAAATATTTAATTAATTGATTTTTTTAAAAAAAAAGTTATCATATAATAAATTTAATTAATTATTTATATATATATCAAGTGTTACCCGACACACGTGTAGTCAAGTTATTGGTCGCAAACGTATTATACATATGCTATGCGTATTGGTTGTCGAGTTTTTCCTGTGCTGGACACCCGTATACGTCCTAAACGTATGGGCCATCTATAAACCAAAACAGGTATTTTGTTGTTAAAAATAAATAAATAAATAAAATAAAAATATTTACAATTTTTTCTTTTTTAAATATTTAATAATTAGGTTTTGTTGTTGTTTTGTTGTTGTTTTGTTAATAAGTAATTAGTAATTATTTTTTTTAATTAATTAATTTTTTAAATTGAATTGATTTAAATTCTATATAATTATATATATATATATAWATATATTTTTCTCAAATAAATAGTCTAATAATTATTTGTTTTAATTAGTTTAACTAATAGTTTACTATTATTATTATTATTATTATATACTGCATATTAATATTCATAATTTGTTATAATTAATAAGTATATTAATATACAGTATATACGGTATATATATATATTTAATATATTAATAATAAAACTTATTATTATTATAATGTTTGTCAATTAGTTATATTTTTTGTTATATAAAATTATTTTGTATTATTATTTTTTTTATCAAAAGTACTAATATTTTAATTTAATTTATTATTAATATTATTAGATATATTCACTATTGGGACCGACAAGCATATCATATATACATTTGCTATCCTACCTGAGCTCGTGTACCAATCCTATTACCTATTGTTTTATGCATAAAAAGTTTCGTAAAGTAAGTAAAAAAAACATTTAGGTTAAACATTAGTATTTAATATTTTAGACATAAAAAATAATAATAATTTTTTGCATTAAATTTAAATATTAAAACTATAATAATAATAATAATAATTTATAATTACATTTATACATTTATAGCTATTAAATTAATTCAACTGTACATTTAATTAATATGTTTAATTAATTTCTAATTAACTGTAATATCAAATAAAATAAAAATTAAATGTTAATAATATTTTTCAATTCAATAGCTTAAAATAGTTATTAGGTCTAATTAATTGAATATAAAAAAAATTAAATCAATTAATCAAAAATAATAAATTATCTTAACTAATTTAATAAAAATAATTATAAATACCACTACTACTACTACTACTACTACAAAATTATTAAATTGTTATAATAATAATAATATGCTATAAATTTTTGTGCTTTAATTTTATGTTAATTAAACACATTATTTCCACTTTGTTTAATAGGAAATAATTTTTGGTTTATAATTATATGTAAATAAACTCATCAAAAAAACTCATACAATAATAGTAGTAATCTTAACAGATAAATGTTATCATATGATTAAGTTTGAGGCTATTTTTATGTGTATGTATGTGTGTGTATGTATGTGTGTGTATGTATGTGTGTGTATGTATGTGTGTGTATGTATGTGTGTGTATGTATGTGTGTGTATGTATGTGTGTGTATGTGTATGTGTGTGTATGTATGTGTGTGTATGTGTGTATGTGTATGTGTATGTGTATGTGTATGTGTATGTGTATGTGTATGTGTATGTGTATGTGTATGTGTGTATATTTTTTTACTTTACAACTTATCTATTGTTTAAATAAATAATTAATAATTGTCTTAAAAAATACCTAGAATTTTTTTATTGATTTATTTTATACTTTAACATTATCATATTAAGTATAGTATATGTATTTATAGAAATTTTCATCAGTTATAAAAATTTTTTTTTATTAAATTACTACTACTACTACTACTACTTCAATAATAAAAACAATAATTATATTTATAATTTTATTTCTATAATAATAAAAAACATAATTAAATATCTGTTATTTTTATAATTATTATGTAATATATATATATTATTTCTATAACAAGTATCAAATTTTTAAAAAAAATAATTAATTAAAAACAAATCCTAAATTATTACAAAACACCAAAATTATTTTTAAATAAAATTATTAAAAATAAAATAACTAAACTAGTAAATTAAATTAAACAACAACAAAAAAATGTTAAATATTTATAAATTTTTTGAACGAAAAAATTATTATTATTTTTTTTAAAACATATAATTATTTTTTTTTGATTACAATTAACTACTTATAATTTATTTTTTTTTTAATAGGCATTGATGGCAATGATCCGAAATCATGGTTCATCAACGCACCGGTATGTTGTCAATAGTGAATTAGATCAGTCGTCTAGCAATCAATTTTCTAATCATTATCATCATCGTCGTGGTCGTCGTCATCATCGTTATCATAATCATCATCAATACAGGGATGGCATACAAACGCCGAGCACTGGTATCCAAACTAGTCGTATAGTAGTAGTATCAACATCGGGTGCTGATGATGATGGTGGTGGTAGTGGTAGTCGATATAGATAGATACTAAAAAGTATACATATATATATATAGTTTATATACAGTATATATATATAGTATATATATATTGTATAGTTATATTGATTTAAATAAATAATTTTTTTACAAAAGAAAAAAAAATTTATCAAAAAAAAAAAATAATAATCAAAACTTTATTATTGTTATTCAAAAAAAAAAATCTAATTGTATTGTAATTAATTAATTAATTTTTATTTATTAATTAATTAATTTTTAATAATTGTTTATAAACAGTATATACTGTTTTTTTTAAAAAAATGCCATAATATTTATATAAGTAATTAAATGTAATATTCATATTTATTATAATGATGTTCATATTAATAATAATAATAATTAATTGTTGTTTAATATAAATTTATATTGCTAAATTTATATAAATATTTATATCTATATTGTACTTGACATTTAATAATATTTTATTTATAAAATTTAATTTACTTAATATCTAAATTTTATTTTAAAAAAAAACAATTTTTAATATAAAACTAATGTTTAATGTATTATTTGTTTGAATAAACAAATAATTTTTTTTGATTAATCTATATATATATATAATATAATACATATTATTAAAAAAAAATTTAATGTGATTATAACTATTTATAGTTTATAAAATGATAATCTTATATATATTAAATATATTGTATATATATATTTATTTATTTTATATAAATATGATTATATAATGTATTTTGTGATATTTAAACTTATATCATATTTTGATCTATAAATTATATATAAATATATATATATTTAACTAATATTTTAACTTTACTTAAATACTATAATAATAATAATAATAAACCAATTATTTTAACGATTGTTATGTAGGAGTAATGTTAGTTTTAAAAGTTATTATTTTTGAAAAAATAAATAAATAAATATTTCTATCATATAAATCAAATTAACTTTTGAAATCAAATATTATATATAAATTATAAAATTATATAAATGTCATCTATAAATAAATGTTTTTATTTTAAAACATAATAAGTTAATGTTTTATATTTGTATTTTTTTAAATAAAAATTTGTTTCTTAATTAATGTATTTGTTAAATGTTATAAATTTTTAATGATTAAAATATATTTATATCTAAATTATAACTCATATATAATATTTGATTTCAAAAGTTAATTTGATTTATATGATAGAAATATTTATTTATTTATTTTTTCAAAATAATAACTTTTAAAACTAACATTACTCCTACATAACAATCGTTAAAATAATTGGTTTATTATTATTATTATTATAGTATTTAAGTAAAGTTAAAATATTAGTTAAATATATATATATATATTTATATATAATTTATAGATCAAAATATGATATAAGTTTAAATATCACAAAATACATTATATAATCATATTAATATTATATAAACTTATAAACTGTATTTAAATAAAGTAAAAATATTTTTATTAATACATCTATATTATAGTAATTATTGTTTAATTATTATTTCTACATATATATATATATATAATTATTATTTCATTAATTATATTATTAATTTTTTTTTTGTAAAACTTATTATTTCTTAAAATAAATAGTATTAAAAACTTTAAAAATAAATTTTGAAAATACAATTACTAATTGGTTTTAACTTTTTTTTTTAAAAAAAAACATCAATTAATTGGCAATTAGTAAATATACAGATATAATATATTTTGGTATAATATAGTTTTAAGATATAAATAAATTTTTATAATAATATTATTTATAAATAAAAAATCATTTTAAATAAGTTGTGCAAATATAAAAAACAATTAAATGTATGGAAAAATTTTATTTTATCAAATAAATTAAGATAAAATAATTAAAAGTGATAAATATAAAATTTTATTTACATATGATATATAACTACAGTAAAGTCTAAATAATCATATGTTTATACTGTATATATATATATCTAAGATAATAAATTTTATAAATATATAGATAAAAACAGTTATCAATAGTTGCATACAATCACGTATTTTTGTTTTAAATTTATTTATTTTTTGTAAATAATTATAAATTATATTTATATACTGTATTATATATAAATATATATATATATATATATATATATATATATATACAGTAAATTATTAATTATTTGTTTATTTTAAAAATACTATATTTAAAACACTAGTTATTTTTGTGTGCGTAAATTTTCACATTTAAAAATTTTACTGAACTGTTATTATTGTTATATATAATGTTTATATGAGGGTCATTTTGTGTACATTTATATATATATATATATATATATATTTATTTATTTAATATATAAAAATTAATAATTGATAAAATTAAATTGTTTGTATACTTATTGATTGTTTTTATTATTTAGATTAATGTTGAAACAATAATCTAAATACAAATTTTTATAACTATAAAGTTGTTTAATATTTTTGTTATTATTATTATAGCTAAACGAAAACAAAATAATAATTATTAAATGTATATTAAAAATATATTTATATATATTGTTGTTTGTAATTAAAGTTTTTTTTTATAAAATATGATTTATAATTAAATTTTTTTTGTCTCATAAAATTGTTACAACAAATACTGTATATATATCTATAATGACTACTACTAGTAGTAGTAATAGTAGTAATACTACTCCACCTAAACCACCAATAGTTAAGGAACCGACACTTAGCCAACAATGGGATCAACTATCAGGTAGAAGATCCAGCTATAAGCTACCGGTGCTCAGCTATCGGCACCAATCAAATGCATTGCGTATACTATCATCGGTGTCGGCATTTATCAAACTATTTGAATCGTTGTTTTGGCTATCATTGCTTCTGGAGGCCACACATAATGAGGTAAACCTATATATTATTATTATTATTATTATATAATATTTTATGAATTAATAACAACAACAACAACAAAAATTAATTTATATTTTAGTATTTAATTAATATTAATAACATTAATAATTAATACAATATATTTATACAGTCTAACTAATTAATTTTATTATTAATATTAAATATTTATAGACAGTATATATTTATGTGTATAAATTTTACTTTAATATAAGCCACATAAATATAATTTGCATAATTGCATAATTTATATAATTTGCATGCTGTATGAAAATTAAATTACAAAAAAACAACAAATTTAGTAATGCTAATAATAATAATAATAATATTAATAATATAATTAATAATTTAATAGTAATTAAGTAGCACTTATTATTTATAATAATTTATATGCAATTAAAAATACTAATGTTATATTTTATGTTATATATGTTTGTATATGTGTTTGTATGTGTGTCTGTATATGTGTTTATATATGTGTTTGTATGTATGTATGTATGTTTGTATGTATGTATGTATGTTTGTGTGTATGTATGTATGTGTGTGTGTGTATGTATGTTTGTATGTATGTATCTTTATGTGTATGTATGTGTTTGTATATGTGTTTGTAAATGTGTTTTTATGTGTGTGTGTGTGTATGTGTTGTTATCAATAACTACCAATAGGATGACCAGTCGACACATACGCTGACCGTTATATTGGCCACTGCTTTCATCATATCACTGACCACTGGTGTATTGGCAACATTTGGTCCCTGTTTTCACGGACTCATCCAATATAAGACACTAATGATGGCAACTGTATGCGCCTTCCTATGGGATTCAGTAGTACTTATACTATGTTTTATATTAGGTATGAATTAATTTATAAATATATATATATATATATCAATATATAATTTACATTTATATAACAATAAAAACAAGATTAATATTAATAATATTCAAATTATTAAAAACAAACAAAATATAATTTTTACTAAAAGATATATAATTATATTAATAATATTATTAAAATTAATTTATGCAATAATAAATAAAATAATATATATTTCTAAAAATTTATATATTTATATACATAATTATAATATTTAATAGCTTTTTAAAAACTTATTTAAAATTAGTACATTATATATATATTTTTTTAATTTGAATAATAAAATTAATTTCAATTAAAAATATATGAATAAAATATTAAATTAAAAAAAAAGTTAAATTTTATTATTAATTATATTATAGGTTTAATTTTAACTTTTATACATATTATTTATTTATTTTATATAATTATTTTTTTTATAAAGTATATTTTTAATTAAAAATTTTATTAAAAAAATAATTATATTTTTTTTAGATTATTATAAACACTCACAAAATAAAGACAATCAAACTGAGACAGCATTTAATGCAACAATTGGTAAGTTTTAATATAAACAAATTTTTTTTTAAATAATTTTATTATTTTTATTTTTAATAATAATTATTATAATAACAATTATAATATTTTCTATGTGTGTGTGTGTGTGTACTCAACCAATTAAAAAAACTTATTGTATTTCATAATATAATACAGTATTTAAAAAAAATATATATATATTTATAGACTATTTTTAGTGATAATCCTTTTATCTAAAAATTTTTTTTTAATAAAATAAATTACACAAAATTTTTAAAAGAGAAAAAATTGTAACTTTTGTTAACAATAATAATAATAATGAAAATTTCTATGAAAACTATTATTATTATATAATAGACACAAATGTTATTTTACTATACATTAAAAACTCAACGAAAAAATAATAATAATAAAATATTTTTTAACACTAAAATCTACTTTATTTATACATAAAAATAGTATTAGAAAAAAATAAATAAAAATTTCTTTAGAATGATATACTTTTTTTTCTTGAAAAAAAACTAAAAAAACTAAAATTATATTTAAAAGTATTTTTATTTGTATTTATATATATATATATATATATATATATAATATTAGTGAATGAATTCTGTTAAATAATTTTTTTTTATTATTTGTATTAATGTATTACTTAGAAATAAATATACTTAAAATATATTATACAATATATATATATATATATAATAGTATTATTTGTATATATATATATATATATATATATTAGTTAAGATATACTTATTTTTTATATTTTTTTTTGTTTGAAATAAGCCAATAGTGTCAACAAAAATATTACGATTTGGTTATAAAAATTTATAGTTATTTATTTATTTATTTATTTAAATATATACAAATAAAATTACTTTTATTACTACTATATATTAATATATATATACAGTGTATATCAATGCATTGTAAATAAAAATTTATCTAATAATTTATACAATAGTATTGATATACTAACCAAAAAAAAAATAGGAAATTAAATATTTAGTTAACATTTTTTTTAGAGAAACATTTTTTATTCAATATATATATATATATGTATTTATATTTTATTGTATAATATGTCATATATTTTTCAATTGAAAAAATACATTTTTAAATAATAATAATAAAATGCAAATAATTTTTTATATTATTGATATTTTTTTTCATAGGTGTGATAACATCAGTATCGATATTAACAATAAACTGGAAACTTGTAGCTAATAAATGGTATCAACAAAACTGGTGTCGACAACAACAACATATATAATAATATTAATAATTAAAAAAATATATATATATATATTAATTATAAATTAACAAAATCATGATATTTTTTGTTGTTTTTATTTAAAAAAATTTTTAAAACAAACATATTAAGTATTTTTATAATAACTTTTATAATCCTATTGAGTGTTTATTGTTTTTAAAATTTATTTAATTAAAAATTTATTATTATTAATTTATATACTTGTATATTGTATTGAAATCAATTTAAATGTTTAATCGCTATAAAATATATATCATATAGATATAGATATATTTAGTAATAGATAATTATTATTATTTTTTTTGTTGATAATAATATGATTTTTTTAATRACACWAATATTTTATTTTTATAATCATTATTGAATAAAATATTATACAAAATAATACTTTAAAATTAAAAAATATTATATAGTATTATAAGYGATAWATTAATTGCATATTTAAACAAACAAACAAGTGTTGGATAAATACATATAATAATGATATTATTATTTTTATTCTTATTACTACTACTACTACTACTACTACTACTACTACTACTACTACTACTACTACTACTACTACTACTACTACTACTACTACTACTACTACTACTACTACTACTACTACTACTACTACTACTACTACTACTACTACTACTACTACTACTACTACTATATTATACTATTACTACTACTAATGTATTATACTATTATTATTATTATTATTACTACTACTACTACTACTATAACCACTACTACTACTACTACTACTACTACTACTACTACTACTACTACTACTAACTACTACTACTACTACTACTACTACTACTACTACTACTACTACTACTACTACTACTATATTATACTATTACTACTACTAATGTATTATACTATTATTATTATACATATATATATATATATACTACTATAACCACTACTACTACTTTACTACTACTATATATATATATACCACTACTACTACTACTACTATACTAATACTATACTACTATAAAATTACTATTACTACTACTAATGTATTATATATGTTATTATTATTATTATTATACTATTACTATATATAATTACTACTATATTAATACTATTACTACTATACTACTACTAAACTATATATATACTACTATATATATATACTACTACTTACTATACTATATTATAATATTACTACTACTAATGTATTATATATGTTTTACTTATATATATAGTTAAGTTATATATATATATAATAAACTATACTACTAATATTACTACTTACTACTTATAACCACTACTACTACTACTACTATACTACTACTTACTACTATATTATACTATTACATAATGATAATTAACAAAATAATAAAATAATATTTGTATAAAATTCAATGTAAATAAATATTATTGATTTAATAAAGTAATTGTTTATTGCACATCAAATTATTAACATATATATAATCACAAAATAATAAAAATATAATTGATTTTTGAATTGTCCGAAAACACTTTTCTAATCGGGTATCTATTTGAGAATACATAGAAAACATATGAGTGTTTAATCGGGACTATGAATTCCCGATATAAAAGTGTATTATCTATCAATAATAACAATATTTAATTACTAATTTTGGTTATTTTGTGACTTAATATATTACTAAATTAATTTGCAATCATATTCAATTTATTAAATAATAAATATTAATTTTAAACACAATTAACTGATTCTCATTCTTTATGTTTAAATTTACTACAATGTATTATACTATTATTATATATTATTATTAGATACTACTACTACTACTATAGACCACTACTACTACTACTACTACTACTACTACTACTACTTTTACTATAACCACTACTACTACTACTACTACTATTAGCCAATTAATGTCATAACTAATAGATAGACATTGAATAGGAAAAATGTGTATGTTGAAAGTTCAATGGTAGTCAATGGAAACCAATCGGCAACATAAAACCCAATGAATTTGTCGGTCAAATGTTCAATATATATATAACTGTATACTAAGCCTATCACCGTATGCCTATTTATATATGATTTTTTTATATCAACATGAACTTTGGCCTAATATTTAGTTGGTTGAACGCATTATAATTGATCCGATAATAGCCATTTGATATTTGTACGATAATTAACAGATAGATAATTGCCAGATAAAATCTAATTGATATTATCGGTATGCCATAGCAATCAATTTCAAACAATTTAACAAACAAATAGGATAAATCATAAAATTATATAATTATATAATATATATATATTAATTAAATTGTTTATTAAATTTATATAAGAAATTTATACAGTTATCAGACAATCAATATTGGCAACTTGATTGATAATTAATTGATTAATATATATATATGATATATGATATATATAAAATAGTAATAAGTAATATAGACTAATAGAAATTTTATTTATTTATTTATTTAACTTATATTTGATCTATATTTTTGTAAAACAATTATTTATTTAAACAATTAAAATAATATTATTCTATAAAAAATATWCAATAAATTATTAATAATTAAATAGAAATATTATTTTTAAAATATATTAATAATTAATTAATATATTTTATTAAATTTCCTTAATWAGATACTTTACATTGACTATTATATATTTATAATTWTATTTGTTTTTATAATTATCATTTAAGAAATTTATTGTTATTAAAAACTATTATTTTATACTGGTAATATTATTATTTATCGATTAATATTATTATTTACTGATTATTTTTTTAGTATTATTATTTATTTAGCAAATTTTATTTAAATAAAAATAATTAAAATATCAACAAAMAAATTATTAAGTTAAATAGTTTATTCATATATTTTCAATATTATATTAGAGTAAATTAAAAATCAATTATATATTATATATTAGTTGTACTAAAAATGATACTAACATTAGTTYAATATATATTCAATAAATACATTATTTGAATGAATTTATTTTGAATAAAATGACATTTTAATCAAGATTTAATTGWATTTATTTTTTCTATGATTATATATATACAGTATTTATAAATCATAGAAAAAATAAATACAATTAAATCTTGATTAAAATGTCATTTTATTCAAAATAAATTTATTCAAATAATKTWTTTATTGAATATATRTATGAACTAATGTTAGTATCATTTTTAGTACAATTACTGCTGTAATTATATTTTGTTTTGAAATAATATGAATAAAATATATGAATAAATATATWTTTTTATTAATTACTAAATATCGTGTTAAATTAATTAATTAATATATATATATATATATATATATTTATGATATATATATATATATATATATATATAATTATAACAATCAATGTATATTTTGACATTTAAATCAGTACATTATATAAGTAATAACTAAAATAGTATAATAATATTAATAACAATTTAATAATTTTTTATAACTAATTAACTAAAAAAAAACAAACAAACAAAAATATGATAATTAAATTTTATTCAAACATAATAATTGCCATATATTTAGTAATATGTTTACTAAAATTATTGATTGGCAATTATTTTCAAAAACCACTAAATGAACTGGCTGAACAATTTGAACAATTTAATCGACAAAATTGTATAACAATTTTTGATAGTTTTGATAATCAATATACAGGCAAACCATACAATTGGAAAACTGTTTGGAAAGCATTGCTATTGAAATTGATTTTATTTATAAATATAATTAGATTTATGATACCATCCATGACTAACAATCCCCATCATTTGGCACTGGTATGCGATTTAACATCACTTATAGGCGGCAATTGGCTAATATCGCTAGTATTTAGTTTATGTTTTATATATTTGTGGCTAAATATTACAATTTGGATGAATAAGGACTACAATAGGCATAGATTCTGGCAATATATGTATGCATTGAAATATCAACGATTAAAATATCCAATTAATAAACAAACCAATGATTTCTATTTATTTATATTAAATTTATTAACTAATATACTGTATATTTATTATTATATCGTATCGTTAATTGTTATCCTATTTACCACATTATTATCTATAATATTATTTAAACAAAATTCATTGATACAGGTAATTGCTAGTTAATAATAATAATAATATAATAATAATTTAGTTAATAAATTATTTGATTATTTATATTATTTAAATAAAAAGTTTTATAATTTTTATTTTATTTATACATAATTATCATAAATAATTTATTGATTTTTATTTTATCTAWAYATATATATATATATATATAGCTACCAATACTAATATTATGGCAAATCAATACTATTATCACTGTAGTACATAGTGTAGCAATTATCGGCTATTGGACGGCCATAATAGTGGTATCGGTTGGCCATTTGGTAATCAAATTGTTTGAAGTAAACAAAAAATTCAATCAGGCCTTCGGTACGGCCGATACTAGACTAGTGTTGCTGGCCATCCCTGAGCACCAGTATGTTAGCAAACTAATCGCAATGGTCAACCAGTATCTTAGTTCATGGCTAGCAGTATCCTATTATCTATGGTATTCAATTTGTGTACTAACCTTATACTATCTATGGCACTATCAATTGCATCCAATCTATCTATTAATATATTATTTTATATTAAATTGCCAAATCAATATGGGTTTGCATCTGGGTATATTGATTATTATGTTCAAAAAACTAGCCCACTGGCCACTGGTAGGTATGCGCCAGTATCTGTATAAACGGCAATCAATTGTATTACTGAGAGATAGACTGACTATACAGTTATATATTGAACAGTTGACTACTAATACTATTGGGTTTTATATAAGCGATTGGTTTCCGATTAATAGTTTATTACTATTTCAATACACATTTTTCCTATTTAATGATTATATATTATTTATGACATTATTTGGTAACTAATAATAATTATTATTATTAATACAGTTAATTAATAAATTAACTATTTTAGCTATTATTGTAATTATTGTACTAACACTAAAATTATATAAAATAAAGCAATTTATAATTACTGAAAAAAAWATTTATTAATAATTATTAATTTTTAATTAATTAAGCAAACAATTTATTTATTTTTTTATTTTTTATTATATATATCTAAAATAATCAATCATTAATAATAGTTAAAACAATTTATTGCATTTTGTTTTGTTATTATTATTTATATATATATATATATATATATATATATAATCAATCATTAATAGTTAATAAAAAATAATAAACATATTAAAATTTTTGTAACTATTATTTAAGTTATAAATTGGTATTTATTTSTATATATATATATATATATAAATTTTATAATAAARYAATTTGTAATTAATTGTAAAATTATTTATTATTAATAATTATTACTTCAATTTTTAATTAATTATGCAAACAATTTATTGTATTTTATTATATTTTATTTGTTGTTTATTATTAATAATCAGTCATTAAGTTAAAAAAAAATACTAACAAAATATTATTATTGTTAAAAAATATTATTGAAATAATTTTGTTGTTATTTCACTGAAAAAAAATCTATTACTACTATATCTATCTACCCGTTCCTATGATTTAGGCCCAGTGCCAGCTCAACAATATTGGTACTGAGAAAAAAATCACTGGCCACTACATTCAGACACTGGCCGGGCCATCGTTGGCCAAACCACTGGCCGTACCTACTGTTGGTCAACTGGGCCAACGATCGTAGACTTTTATATTTTTGTTTGATTATACCCTCGATATTAGGTGTTAGTTCAGCCATTGCTGACCTCAAGGTATGCCTACTGTCCTCCTGGCATAGTGTCTCGTCAAAGTACTTGACCAACTCGTCCAAGTCATCGGCATCGGCCCACTGGTGCCTGACGTTAGGCCACAACAGTCCGCTGGACAGGTATTTATCGTAACTCATGTCAAAACCGAGTAATACACGTTTGTTTTGACCGATCAGTTCATTGACGGATACATTATAGCCTAGACTGGGTATAAAACAACAACAAAAATGTTAGATATATAGAGTATATATTGTACATATATATATCAGGGTTTGGGTGGGGTATAGGGTGTGGTATAGGGTGGGGTAAAATGGCAAAAAAAATCTAAAAAATGTTTGGCTGGGGGGAGTAGGTTGGGGTAAACTTTTTTGTTATTTTGCATTTTTAAACGACAATTTTTTTTTTGGCCAAATTTGAGTAAATTCCCACTAAATTCCCACTAAATTCCCACTAAATTCCCACTAAATTCCCACTAAATTCCCACTAAATTCCCACTAAATTCCCACTAAATTCCCACTAAATTCCCACTAAATTCCCACTAAATTCCCACTAAATTCCCACTAAATTCCTATTAAATTCAAACTAAATTCCAACTAAATTCCTATTAAATTCAAACTAAATTCAAACTAAATTCCCACTAAATTTCTATTAAATTGCCACTAAATTCCCTTTTATATATAWAGCCAAATAACTAACTAATTAGGACTAACCTGAACGGTATCATCAGATCCCTGAGCTCATCGCTAACTAAATCAAACCATTCCCTAAATCTTGACCACAATATATCCTCATCATCTTCATCTTCAAACCCGTTGACAAATGCATGAAAATCAACCAAAACTATCTCATGGGGTGCCGCCATCAAAAACTCCCTGATCTGCTGGCACAGTGACCTTACTGTCAAGTTTGTACGATACAAACTATGGACAATCCATAGCCGTTCCGTACTATCGGTAACATTATGATAGCCAACCCTTAGATCCATATAACGGATACCATAAACCAATTGATTGTAAATACATTCATCTTGTGTTATGACAAAATTTTTTAAATCTAATCAATAAAATTTATATTTTTTAATTATTAATATATTTTTTTTTAAATTTTAGTGAAAATAGTAATAATTTTATAAATTTTAAGTTTATTTCTAGTATTTATTTTTTTTTAAACAATATTGTTTATATCAATAATCCTATAGATATATATTTAGATATTTAATATTTTTTTTTTGATAATTTTTTTAATTATTTAATTATATAATATTTTTTTTTAAATTTTACTGAAAACAATATTAATATGATAATAAATTTTAAATTTATTTCTAGTATTTTTAAAAAATAATTATATAGAATATTGTTTATAACAATAATATCTATAAAAACTGTATAAATATATTTAGATATTTAATGTTTTTTTTTTGATAATTTTTTTTAAACTATTTAATTATATAATATATTTTAAATAATAATTATAATTACACTATGTATTAGATAAGGTATGATATATTAATAAATTTAATATATTATTTATCTCAAAAAATTATCATTATTTTATAATAACACACAMACATAGACATACATACATTAATACATACATACACACACACACACACACACACACACACACACACACACATACACACACATACACACACACACACTCACATACATACATACATACATACATACAATTACATAGGACTTACCATCTTTTATATTAGGATCATATTTTTCATAACTACCCGCATCGTGAGTACCCGGTATGACCAGTTCGGTCAGTGGTCGGTCGCCTATAATCGGCAAACTATTTTGCATCCAAAACGGATTGTTTTTCATACAATTTTTAGACAAAATCATATTGTTGTGTACATAAGCAACATAATAGCCCAGACACTGTTGGGTTAGTTTACCGGGGATAGTCGTAAAGTTATAATAGGGGAACTGTATGTTTGTCCTTATGTAAGTTACATATATATATTGTTTTAGTTTAATTAAGTTAATTAACATTATTATTACTAGTATTACTTACAAATTATCACCATTTATACGTTGATCGACCATAACTTTAGTGATGGGTTGGGTTCTGTTCAGGGGATCGGTAGTATAGATACCCAACCAATCGTTTTCATTATTTTCGGGTGCATTTTCCCAATGAATTTCCAGCTGTCGTTGGACTGTCTTATCAACCAATGGACTGACTGTTAGCCAAACATTAGTTGTCGACTGGAGTTGACCTTTAAATTTGATTCACAAAAAATAAATTAAAAAAAAATTTAGCAATAAATTGATTGATTTAAACTAAAATTAATTATGACTTACCCATTATAAAGTTGTTATTACCAATAAATATTATGATAAACAATAAATAGTTACAACAAATTAATGATTTGAAATACATTTTATTTATTGTAATTTTTTATTAATTAAACTTAAATAACAAAATTTTTAATTTTAAATAAATAAATAATAATTTAGTTTGTATTAAAACGGTAATAATAATTATTTTATTTATAAGCAACTCTCRTATCTAATATTATTAATATTATTTTAAATCTTATTTTTTTAAAAATAATTATTACATTTAAAAATCCTGTTTTACTATATATCAGGTGTTTATCAGTAAAAAATAATACATATTAATCATTATATATATATTATATATACTGTATATATATATCATGAAATGGGTGTCCACTACCTGTATATCACTTGAATTAGTTATTTATTATATAAAATATTTATAATGAAAAAAATTATATCTTAATTGAACAGACAATAACTTTCACTTACATTAGTTATATATATAAAAAAAAATCAAATAAATTGTCATAACTTTTTGTACAATTTGTATAATTTATAAATAATATTTTAGATAATAATTAAAATGAAAAATATTTTACTATTGTATTGTTTTTTTTTAAATAAAACGATAATATATTGTAAAACATTTTTTTTTATAAAATATATTGTCCGGTGACCACCGGCTATTCGGCGGATTCAGGCCAGCCGATGGTCAACCTCTTGATCAGTGATGCTTATCACCGACCAACACTTATATATACCTTACAATATAATATTTAACTTACTATTAAGTAATCGGTAGCCACAGTTATTATTAATTAAATAATAATATTTAATTAATAAATAACAATTATTTTATAGTAATCGGTAGCAGAAAGTTCAATGAGATTAACAGTTTATTAATAAATAATAATTTATTAATAATAACCACTTTATTATTAGATAACAATAAATACTTTAGTAATAATTAACAACTATTTTATTATTAAATAATAAACAATTTATTAAACAGTTAATTTAGTATTATTATTATAATAATAATTTCAATAATAATCGGTTAAATAAGTTATAAATTTATCATAATTTTCATGACATTAATTGCTGAGACCCGACGCCTGAATCAAAACTGTATTATAAAATACAGTTTATTTTATAATAAAAATTATAAATTTAACTAAAACATATAAGGTATATTCATATAACACCTTATATGAAACATCCTGCTTATTTATATAATATAAAACATTTATAAATAATAATAATTTAAAGTATATGTAATTTAAAATAAATAAATATTGCTATTCATTTCATTGCCCGACCCTTAGATATTTGAGTCCCTTCAAATAAATTACCAATAGTCGACGTCCGATTCGTTGCTTTCAGTTTGTTTTTTATTCATTTCTTGTTCATCAGAAAAATCTATCTCTTCAATCAGCGATTCATTCCATGGTTTCAATTGTCTTATGTTAACATTCTTATGTTTTGAGTTTGTATTTTGTAAGTCTTTTATTTTACAGACTAATTTATTATCATATAGTTTTATCACTTCATACGGTCCTATGTATTTAGGGAAGAACCTTTCTGACATCCCTTTGACTCTCGGTTTTATTTTATAAGCAACTCTATCACCTATTTTATAAGTTGTTTCACTTTTGTTGTAATCATAATTAGATTTTTGCAAATCTTGTACGTCACGTAATCTGGTCTTTACAATTTCTCGGGCTTCTATTAAATCCTGTATATAACAAGCATTTGTTTCATATACAGCTTTTTTATCAATTATCGCTTCACTAGGAAGTCTTGCTCGTCTTCCATAGACCAACTCAAACGGTGTTAGTTTAGTTGAGGATTGTTTAGCAGTATTATACGCAAATACAATCTTAGGCAACATTTCGTCCCAGTTCCTGAATGCGCTGTCCAAGTAGTGAGACAGTAGTTGGGTGATCAGTCCACACGATCTCTCCGCCTGGCCATTGCACTGTGGGTGGTACGGTGTTGTGAACGCGTGTTTTACTTCAGTTATATTCATTAGTTCTTTGACAATACCAGCCGTCATCTCCCGACCATTGTCTGTGATGATCTTCCTGACATATCCATGTCTATTAAAGAGTTCATCTTTTAACCAGTTTACAATAGTGATTGCATTCTTATTTGGTACCGCCTTCGCTTCAATCCACTTCGTAAACAAATCAACAAATACTATTACATATTTGTTACCACTATAAGATTCGGTGAGTGAACCAAGTAAATCCATTCCACAGATTTCAAATGGTTCTGTTGTGATTATACTTTTTAATAAACCCGTCGGTTTATTGTAATCTCTTTTAAATTTTTGACAACTTTCACATCTAGCGACATATTTTCGCACAGATTTTTCCTGGTTTGGCCAATAATATCGTTCGCTTACTTTACCGTAAGTCTTTCCAATGCCCATGTGTCCACCAGTCGGTTCATCATGGCATTCTTTTAAAACAGTTTCTCTTAAACTTTTTGGTAAACACAATAGTAGCTGTGAATTCCCTACTATGTCATGTGTTAGTTTATACAATACATCATTTTGTATTCTGAATTTTTTTATTTCTTTGTCATCGCGATTAGTTAAAATATTTTCTTTTATTTTATTTATTATTGTTGAACACCAGTTGTCTTTGTGTTGTTCATTTTTAATATCAACTTCTTCATTAATAATGAGGACAGGAAACTCTAATTCATTGTCAGTTTCATCTGAATCAATTTGATTATTAGCTTTTATACGACTCATGGCATCCGCGTTACTATGAATTTTACCATTTTTGTATTCAATAGTATACGAAAATTGTTGTATAATAAGTGACCATCGGTTAAGTTTAGAATTAGGGTTGCGTATTCTTGGTAGATAGCATAGTGCACAGTGATCTGTCCTTATTATGACATGAAAACCAAATAAAAACTCCCGTAGCTTTTGTAGTGCCCATACAATAGCCCTTAATTCTTTTTCCGAAATTGAATAATTTACTTCAGCGTCATTAAATAGCTTAGATATATATGCAATATTTTTCTCTTTGCCATTTATTTCCTGTGAGTATACCGCACCCATTGCATATTGTGATGCATCGGTGTATAAAATATTTTTAGCCGTCGGATCATATAGTCCGATTATAGGTTCTGACAATAGTTTATCTCTTAGCGTTTCGAATGCTAGAGTATAGTCGGGTGTCCAATTGAATTTACAAAATTTTCTTAGCAAATCAGTTAAGGGTTTTGCAATTTTTGCATAATCTTTAATAAAGTTTCGATAGAATCCAGTTAGTCCAAGAAACCTTCTGACATCTTTTTGTGTTGTAGGTTTCGGATAGTTAATCAAAGCATTTAAATGTTTTAAACTCGGTTTGATACCATCATGTGAGATAATATTTCCCAAGTATTCGATTTCTTTAGATAGAAATTTACATTTATCTGAATTCATCCTTAAATCATGTTTATCCAATCTCTCAAAGACTTCTTCGAGTTTTATTAAATGTTCATCAAACGTTTTCGAAAATACAAGTATGTCATCCAAATAACAAACACAACTCTTCCATAGTATATCTGATAGGACATACTGTAGATATCTTTGAAAACATGCCGGTGCATTGGTTAATCCAAAAGGCATTACTTTATACTGGTATAGACCATAAGCTGTAATGAATGCTGTCTTAGGTCTATCCTCAGGTGATACGGCTATTTGCCAGTAGCCTGACAATAAATCTATTGTAGAAAAATAGTAACAACCACTTAATAATTGTTGTGTTTCTGTTATTCTCGGTATCGGATGACTGTCTTTAATAGTTACATCATTTAACTTTTTATAATTAACGCAAAACCTATATTTCCCATTTGGTTTTGAGACCAAGACCACCGGGCTACTCCACGGTGAGTATGAAACTTCAATGAGATCATTAGACAACATCTCATCAATTTGTTTCTTAATTTCTAATTTTTCAAAATGACTCGTAGGATATGCTCTTTGCTTAATTGGTTTGGCATCCCCAGTGTTGATATTTAATTGAATATCTTTAGCACCTTTGATCTTATTTAATGTTGCACCAAACAAGTGTTTATACTTGTTTATTAATTTTTCGAAACTTTCATTTTTGTCATCCACAGTAGATAAAATAGTGGTTAAGTCGACATCATTGTCATCTTCAGATTTATCATCGACAAAATTGACTCTATTTATAGAGATATCTTTGTTAGGTATTTGATAAAACTTCCCAATTAAGGTATTTGCTTGTATTCTAAAACCATAATTTTTAGAATTATAGACCAATATTTTAAGCATTCCCCACTTTAATTCAATTAACGTTGAATTAATACTTAAATTTGTTGTATTTAAGAAGTGTTTATTTGGTATAAAATAAACAAAATTGCGATCAACTTTAGGTAAGTCTGATACAACTTTAATTTTTTTAATTGAATTTTTCTTAAGCAATACATTTTTGAATGTAAAGACTTTAAAACCGCTTGAATTGAGTTTCGGTGGTGGTAAATTGATTACATTATTCTTCAAATCAATAACCACTTTATTTAATTTTAAGAAGTCTAGTCCAATTAACATGTCGTCTTGCATATTGTTATAGATCATAAATGTATGTTCAAAGGTTTTCTCTTTAAGAACAAACTTAAGATCGATCGATTTGTCTAATATGTGTAGACTATGATCCAATAACCTTATTTTATGTTGTTTATGATCATCCGATTGTACATCAAGTGATTCTACAATACTTTCTTTAATCAACGAGACAGTACTTCCTGTATCAACGACAGCGTTTATAATATGCGATTCGACTATTATTGGAACTTTTATTATTTCAGTTTTATCAGCAGTCGTAAAGTAAATACATTCGTTAGTCATTTCTGGATATATACTGAATGGTAAGTGTGTTTCTTCTTCGACAAAACTATCACACTCAACTAGTTTTGTCTCGGACTGTTTCCCTGAAACTTTTTATCCTCGATTTCAGGACAGTCTCGACGGTAATGTCCTGTTTTACCACACTTATAACAAACATATGCTTTGTTATC